CCCTCTATAACACTGATAGAGAGATATGCACAGCTGTTGCTCCCCCAGGTATTAATCACTTACTCTGGGTTTATCAATAAACAAAAGTGATTTAATTAAGTATAAAAAGTAGGATTTAAGTGGTTTCAAGTAATAACAGACAGAACAAAGTAAGTTACCAAGCAAAATAAAATAAAACGCAAGTCTAAGCCTAATACATTAAGAAACTGAATACAGGTAAATCTCACCCTTAGAGATGTTCCAATAAGCTTCTTTCACAGACTAGACTTCTTCCTAGTCTGGGCCCAATCCTTTCCCCATTACAGACCTTGTTAGTTCCAGCAGGCATCTTAGGTGAAAAGCAGGGGATTCCACATGACTGGGACCTCTCTTTTCTGTTCCACTCCCTTTTATAACTTTGGCATAAGGAGGGAATCCTTTGTCTCTCTCTGGGTTCCCACCCCTCCTGCTAAATGGAAAAGCACCAGGTTTAAGATGGATTCCAGTATCATGTGACATGGTCACATGTTCTGTGAGACCCCTAGTCTCCATTCTTCCAAGGCTGGCCGGCACTACCCAGGAAGGTTTGCAAGTAAACAGAGCCATTCACAACCAATTGTCCTAGTTAATGGGAGCCATCAAGATTCCCAGCCACCATTAATTGCACACACTTTGCATAATTACAGTAGGACTTCAGAGTAATACTTCATATTTCTAGTTTCAGATACAAGAATGATACATTCATACAAATAGGATGAACACACTCAGTAGAGTATACGCTTTGTAATGATACCTTACAAGAGACCTTTTGCATAAAACGTATTCCAGTTTCAACCTATTCACACTATTTTTATAAAGCATATGGAGTGCAACGTCACAATCTGTTCTCAGATTCTTCATGAATTGCACACCCACACACACCTACTCTCACTACCCGGTTGGGGAAACTCCCTTTATCCACATGGCCACAACCCAGTTAGGCCTTGTTTTAGTTGTGGCCCCTCAACTGTCTATTATAACTATCTTAAATGAAGGGTTTCACATAGTTTGTAACAATAGCATCTGTTCAGAGAATACATCTAGTTCTTCTACTTGCTAACATCTATCAGTCACTTAAGGCTATTATGACTACACTGCGCACACAGTATAACTGCTCTTTGTTGCCAGGAGAGAGCTCTCCTGATAACAAAATAAAACCACCCCCAATAAAGGATGATCGCTTCGTGGGTGGGAGAGCATCTCTCGCCAACAAAGTGCTGTCCACACTGGTGCTTTTCGTCGTTAAAATTTTTGTCATTCAGGGGGTGTTTCACACTCCTGAGCGACAAAAGATTTAACGATGCAAAGGGAGTGTAGACAAGGCCTAAGGCCATAATGAGATTTGAGGATGTCCACTATAGTCTACAAAGTAATTTAAGCTGCATCAGACTTGATCTGGCCTCTCTGTTTAGCTGGTCATGCATTTAAGAAACAGGGTAAATTAAGCTGTTATGAAGAAAAGCACACATCTACTGGTACTAATATGCTATCCTTGAGCCTGATCCTGCCAACCCTTTCTTAAAGGGGAAATTTCTTCCACTGAAGAGAGGCAGCAAAAGGCATCGGCACCATTTAAGCCCTATTTTGGGTCATAGGCCACATGTTGACTGTCTGCACAAGTGGTGAATTGATGAATAATCCTTGCTCAAGTGAATAGTGCTATTGACCTTAATTAGACTCTTCCCTGCATTAATCACAAGAGTAAAGATTTGCTGGATTTGGCCCTTGTATTTACTAATTTAAGCCTTGGTGCACAAAAGGAGTTAAGTGCCTAAGTCCCAGTTTGTGCACCTCTGCAATACACAGCCCCCCCTGCCTAACACTGGAGGTGCCTAGAAGCTCCCTAAGCACTTAACATTTTGCTGAAAAAGGTCCCTAGCCACCTGTTTCTTCCTCTGGGCATGTGAGCTGCTGCCTCCCTGTAGGCATCTGGACTCCATCTCCTGCCTAAGCCCCAGAATCTTTCCACAAACTGGGGGAAGAAGATAGATGCTCCTCTGTAACTTGCCTGCAGGGCCTGATCCAATAAGTCTTCTCTGAATTTGCCTACCAGATCAAGCCCTGCAGGCAAGCTATTACAACATGGCCATGGTGGGAAGGAAAAGCTCCCTCAACTTTTAGCCCAGTGGTTACGGTAATCACCTATGATGTAGGAAACCCCTGGGTCAACTCCCAGTTCTGCCTGATGAGGAGAAATTTAAACTGGGATCTCAGATCACTTCTCAGATGAGTGCTCTAATCAGTGAGCTATAGGATAGTCTGATGTGGGGCTCCCTCCTTCTCTTGTTGAAGTTGTTCCATTGTGGATACATGAGCAAAGTAATTGGAGCAGGGGAACTGGCTCCTGGGTCTAGCACTTCCTGGTGAATGCTCTGACTATAACCTGATGAGTAGTCTCATGCTTGCTTGCTCACATATGTTCTCTCTCTCTCTCTCTGTGTCAGCCAATGACTCTTTAATTATTTAATCCAAAGTGCAACAGCTTGCCCAGGAGAAATTGGGGAAACCCCACAACAAAATAATCCACAACGCAGTGGTTAGAGAACTCTCCTGAGCAGGGGTGGCTCTAGCTTTTTTGCCTCCCCAAGCACGGCAGGCAGGCTGCCTTCGGCGGCACACCTGCGGGAGGTCCCCGGTCACACGGATTCGGCGGCATGCCTGTGGGAGGTCCAGATTTTATCGGAACTGTCCCGATATTTCCTTGTTTGTCCCGCGTCCCGACCAATGTTAGGTCAGGACACTGGACAAACAAGCAAATACTCCGGAGCCCGGAAGTGCTCGCGCCCACCCCCCGCCCCGACTCCACTCCCTCCTTCCCCCATTGGCTCCCTCCCCGAATCCCCACCTCTTCCCCAGGCTCGCCATTCCTCCTCCCTCCACAAGTGCTGGAGGGAGGCCCGGGAGACG